GAAAGAAAGGATTGCCCATATGCCTTGCGTTTATTAAAATAACTGGTACCTATCTGTCTTCCCTGCTAGGCTGTATGGTTCTCCAAAGCTGGAGAACTTACTCTTAGAGCCATATCATCTTACTCATCCTTGTATCTCAGCAACTTGGATATTTCTGAGTGTAGGAAATGTTTATTTCATTAAATGGGAACAAAGTGTATCTTCCTCCTAAAACTGACAAGTGTGTGTGTTTTTCTTTCCTCATCAAGTTTCTCACATGTGCAGTTTGTTCTTATCTATTATTAGCCAATTTCATTGAATTTGATGGCTGAAATTGAATTCAGATGAAAAAAGAATTGGTTTTGTAAGTCCATCCCTGCTTTAAAAGGATGATCTTCAATTTTTTTTAATACCATAATATTTTAATGTTCTGGTGTTAGCATGATATTGTTTGGTGATTAATCTGACTTAAGTAAATAATTGTACTATGTTATTCCCTTGCTGGAAAACCTTTGAAAGCTTGAAGTAGATTTCGGCATCCTGTCAACTCAGTTTCTGACTTTACTTTCCAATGTCCTTTTAGTCTTCTTGAGCTATGTTACTCTTTACAAACAGCCCCTAGTGGCCCATTCTACTGCTCTTCCTGTGCTTTTTTGGTCATTGATTCATCAGTTCTTTTCCATATATTTTTTTTCTCCTTCACACTTTACTCTGTCTGTCATCCTTTTATTTTCTCTTACTTCCTTTGTGAGGTCTTACAGAACAGACTAGGTTCACTGAGGACTATTAACTTATATCACATCCTTTTCTGTTTATTTAAACTCTCATGCAGAAATGTTATGTTTTCAAATCCTCTTCAAGGTGAATTCTTATGTGTAACATGTTAATGTGCAAGTCTGTTATTTTTAAATGTGAAAAAAATTTGTGTGGTTAAGATCTGGGTTTGCATATATTAATTGTATGCCTATTACAGTTACTGTATAATTACAGGAATAAATAATGCTGAATTTGTTTTGATTCTAGATTCAAGAGTTGCCACAGGAAAACAAACAATTCTGTAACTCTTGAGTCTCTCATAACTTTGAGACTCTCAAGATGGAATCTTATGTCAATTTGTAAACTTTTAAACATCTCTCTCTTCTTAATTTTCTCTTTCTCTGCAATCGTTATTTCTTTTCACTATTTTAATATATAATTCTACCTTCGTGTCTTTCCTTCATCAAAGAGAGGCTTTCTTTCAATTTTAATAGGATTCTTTTTTTAAGGAGTTGGGCATCAGATAAGTCAGATTTTTACATGGTAAATTTGAGATGCCTGTAATAGTTTTACATGTTGAAAATCATACAATTAGATATTTAAAATATTTAGCTTCTGAATTAGGAATCACTTACCTCTGTGTACTTATGTTTCTATAACTACGAAGAATATTATATGTAGGGCCTGGGATTTAGCTCAGTGGTTTTGCCACCTACTGCGCAAGCACAAGGACCCAAGTTTGAACCCTGGTACCAAAAAAAAAAAAAGAAGAATATTATATGGATAGGATAATATTTAATATTGGGACCTCGTAGAGTTAGCTGTATTTGAAAACCAAATGGCAGAGACCTAGGAAAGGAGATTCTGAAAAAATAGGAAGAAAATGGAAAAGAGGTAAAAAACAATATTAAAAACAATATTAAGAGAGACAAGAATGAATTAGATGTAATTAACAGTCATATGCTACAAGGAAACTAGGTAAGAAAACACTTTTAGAATCAGTTGTATTTGGCTGTAGATGATATTTAGTTATCTTGATAAAGGCTGTCTTAATTGTATGATAGGAAGGAAAATGTATAGCAAATTAAATGAACTGAAATTAAGATTGTGGGGTATCAAGTATGGACTCCTCTTCATAGGACCTGACCTTAAAGGATGAAAAGTACACAGTGCTAGTTAGAAGATAATGTAAGATTGAGTTAAATACATTTTTTTGCTCATTTAATTTGTTTTTGTTTTTTACTTTTAAAAACTATTAGTTTTTTTTTTTTTTTTAAGACAGGAGAAATGAGTAAAATGATCCAGTAGGGAAAGAGGTTAGGAGGTAGAAGAGAAGACAGGATTGATACAGTGAAGTTCCAGACAGATACGGAATGACATGCCAAAGATAGGCTAGTTTGTGTAAAGAGAAAAGAGCTCTCTTCCCCAGAGCCAGGAGAGCAAGAAGATTAGACATTGGTCAGTTTCAGAATGATATCACTAGAACATTTTTGAGGCACCTTGCGTTAATTGCCTCAGTTTTTCCCCGAAGGAGGAGCTATACTAAATTACTAAAAGTGAAAGAAAAGATGGTGGAGTACAACATGAGACTTTTTGGAATGACCATTTTGTGAACTGGGTAGAGACTTGTGGAAGAATTTCTGGTTGCCGGTAAGCTGGCTTTCAAGGTGCAGTCACATCGACTGATCCTTCTATGTGGATTTTCCCTGGAAGGCTGAGGAACCTGAGATAGGAATTTGAAAATTTTTTAGTTCATCTAGAATTGATGACTTTGTTGTTAAATTTCAGTGGTTGACCAGTTTTGTAAAGGAGTTTGAAGCATAAGCAAGAGTGCGTCTGAAGTAAAAGAATATGGAGGTTAGGATAGAGACTCTAGGATTTAAAGAAGCAGAAGAAATGTCAAGAGAGTGGTCATCTCTAACAATAAAAAACAGAGTTAGCAGTAGTGGGACAGTAAAAGGACTGGTTAGATTGGTAGATAAGGCCTGATGTGGTGGCTGGGGGCTGAGAGAGGGACCTTTACCGTAAAGGTGGCAATTCTGATAAAAACATCAAGATGGAATCCTTGGAGTGGTGCCCAAGGTGGCATGGAGTCAGGGTCAACTGAGAATCAGGACGTTTACCAGAGGGTTGAAAACATGTTTTCTGGAGTCAGGTTAGCTGGGTGCAAATCCCCATGGCTTTGTTAGTTTTCATGCTTTCTTGGGCCAAGTTTTTAACTTTACCAGCATTGGTTCCTTATAACCAAAATGCGCATGAGAGTAACACCTTAACTTTAGTCTTGCAATGGGATTGAATGAGGCAGATCATAGAAGGTATTTGTTCAATCTCTGGCACAAGCCAAGTGCTCAGTAAATTTCAGTAGTAGTTGTAGTTATTATTGCGAGCTCTATTTGTCATTTAGATTTCAGCATATACATCACTACCTAAGAGAGACCCTCTCTAGTCACACTGTAAAATACAGACCTTTTCAGGTAACTTTCCATCACGTTTTAGCATTTAGTACTATGTGCTGTTGTAATTAACTGTTAGTATAAATACCTCCCCAGTTAGTTTATTGAAGCCAGGCCTAATTAATTTTTCTATAAATCATGTGTGTGACCCATAGTAGGTATAATCACCTTTGTTCCATGTATTTGTTCCAAAAATGAAAAAAATCAGTTCCACTTCTCTTTTGGGTGGAATCACTTGGTTGCCTCTCATTAATAAAATTGATAGAATATCAGTAAAACTGTTAGAATAATGGCAAAAGTGCATCACAGTCAGTAGGGTTTTCTGTTTTTTGGAATTTTCCATACAAACAAGTACACAGTTCTGTTTACTGTTTTGTTTGCATTGAATTTAGCAAACTGAGCACATGCAAACTTGTTCAGAAAATAAATGTTTTCAAGGCATTATTATTAAAAGATTTTTTGGCTTAATGTCAAACTGACTTTAATCAAGGGGAAATTATATTTAACTTTATTTGAGCCACTTATCATGGCTATTGGAATTGAGACCTAAAAAATCTGCTGTTGGGGCTAGAAGAACTTTGTGAATGTTTTTAGTCTGTTCAATTATCAGTGGTTTAGTACAAGACAGACACTTAATGTTTATCCAGCTCACAGTGTCTTTCTTCCCTTCTTAGCCCTTTCTTATTTGGACACACGACCTTTTTATGTCACTTGTATTAATCCTAGGTATTTGGAAACAAAGGGTCAGCAGGGATAGCTTATGTGACACATAGTAAGTGCTTAATTTCTTAATTTGGCACTTTCTTACAAAGTTTATAAGTGGATTAATGTTAATGGCTGTAACATTCTCTTGTTTAAAAGCAATATTCTTTTGTTTTTTTAATTTAAATATTGTTCTCATATTAAAATATGTATTAATCAGGGCTGGGGATTTAGCTCAGTGGTTCTGCTGCCTGCCTCACAAGTGGAAGGACCTGAGTTCGATCCCCGGTACCAAAAAATATATATATATGTATTAATCATAATGTTTAGTATAATTTCTAATATATTAAAGACTGCCCATATTTTAGGAAAGTGAGACTTTAAGATTTTTTTCTTAATTGGAAAATATTCTTCATAAATTAAGTTTATTTAAAAATCTTTATTTACTGTAGTGGTTCATGACAGCTTGAGATTAGTGTTTCAATTTACAACATTATATCAGTTTAGCCAGAAATAATCTGTTTATGAACATTTTACTGGGAATCTTTCAAATTAACTTTTAAATATAGTATTATCTATACTGATGTCTCTGTCATTCATGCCCATTTTATTGTTACTGATTTTTATTTTATCGCAGTAAAATTTTCTGTGCTGTCAGAGAATGAAATGTTATATTCCTTCTAATGGTTTTCTAATAATCTGACATATTCTAAATAACTGACATTTCTTTAGTTGAGCAAAGCCCTAGATTTTTACTAAAATAATGCATTGTTTTTCTCAACAATGCCTTTTATTTTAGTGACAATGGAAAATATATGCATTTTCCCTTTTGGATAATAGCATAAAAGAGAGGTAATATTTCTATAAAAATTGTTGTTTACTAATGTGATTGTGAAATACACAGAAATACACTAATGTGATTGTGAAATATACAAAAATATTGATGTGATTGTGAAATACTCAGATTTTCTAGCATGATTGTTAGCAACATTTAATACTGATGGTTTCCATTTCAATAGCATTAGCGATTCATATTTGATGACCTGTTGCACATTCAGTTTTGACATCTTATTTAATTTATTTTTAATGTTTTGTGTGTTTTATTCCTAGACTTTAATGTGTGAACTGGAGAACAGGGAAAAACAACAACTACAGATGTTGGATAAACTCAAAGAAATTCAAAACCACTTTGACGCATGTGAGTCTGACCGTAAGCACGCTGACCTCCAGATCTCAGAGCTGACTCACCATGCAGAGGATGCTACCAAGCAGGCTGAGCAGTACCTTAGTGAGTTGCAGCAGTCAGAGGTCCTGAGAGAGGAGGCAGAAAAGAGGAGAGAAGACCTGAAAACAAAAGCTCAAGAGTCCATTAGGCAATGGAAGCTTAAGTATAAAAAATTAGAGCGAGCACTGGAGAAACAATCTGAAACTCTTGATCAACTGACAGAAAAGAATAATCAGGTATAAGAACCAAATTCCTAAGGAATGATTTTTACTGCATCTAGCTATTCATTCATCCATCCTTTCAACAAACTTGAGTACCATGCTATGCATTAAATCTATCAATATGTCCTTGAAAGAAGAGCCTTTTATGTTTGGGTATTTCAAGGTAAAAAGTTACTTAGTTTCTTATTTTTTTAAACTTTTTTTAATAGTTTAACATTCCAGAAGTTTACAGAGTTGACCCTTAAAATAGGTCTTCCCACTGCCCCAGTTTAGCTTTATATTCCTTAGTTGAATCAGTACCCCCGCTCCCCAAAAAGCATTAGTCACTATTGCGCTATATTTTACTGGCAGTAACTATGTGTAATTAAATGAGTGACATTAACAGTCTCACTGATTAGTTTTATCACATAACAAGTCTCTTCAAGACTTTGCTCTTGTGCCCTTTTAATAGCAACAAAAAAGCATATACTTATTTCACATCATCTTTTCTTCTGTATAATCAGTTAGTTTAAATGGATTTGCTGTTCTTATGTTGATTCTCCACCATATCTTTGAGAAGAATTAAACCTAGATGCTCATAAGATAAAAAGCAGGAAAGTTGATATTGATTTTTTGTCCTTGTTTAGTCTTGGTTTATCATTTGTGCTTTGTCATTTGTCACTTGCCAAGAACTCTTAAATTCCCGAAGAGTAATCGTTTGAATAAGTTGACTTTTAAAAGAAAACAAAATGTGAGATTTATATTTTACAAATGTAGGGTATTTATGTTATACATGTTTATGTATTTATGTTACATTTAGAAAATCAACTGATGGCACTTCAGGGCAACTGACGCTTTTTCAGATGAGGTGTCTCAGAGAAGATGCTTTATCTTTTACATATGAATTTCTCAGATGTATAGAACATGAAGGAAGTGAGCACTTTGTACTCAACTGTGGAGTGCTCTTCATTTTCACACATCTGACATAGGGAATGGCTGGCTGCCATGTAGTAAAGTGGTTTAAAGCTTTCAGACTTGAATCTTGCTGGACTTGATCCTAGAAAATATTCTATCTTGATTAATCCCTTGTCAGCCTGATCTGGCAACTAGTTTATTGACTCTGATGATAAGGGAAGTAACTAGCAAAAGAGTGGTTGATGAGAACGATTGAGAAGCCTTTGGGAATTTTACTTAATTAGAGGAAATTTAGAAGGGTGCGTGTCATCAGGCAATATCCCAAATCATGCAGCATGTTGCTGAGAGTTTTCTAGAGTGAGTTTTCAGAATATTAAAAATTGTTAAACAATCATTTCCCAGAATACTCCTGATATAATTATTTTTATCATTTAGCATTGCTAATGATAGGCAAAGAAGTAGTTTTAAAGTGATTGCCACAGTTAAGATGGTATCACAATTATCACAGCAGGCATTGTAATTTCTCCTTTAAAAGCCTTAAAAATTGATGCAGCATGTCGCAGTTAGAGCAATGGTTAATCAAGGAAGAAAGAGTAAGATTTGTTTCACTACAAATGGAGGTATCTGATAAATCTGTCATGTGGAAATACATGCTAAACAATTTTTTAAAAAATATCTTACATATAAGAAATATTTGATTTTTAATAAAATTATCAAGTCACTTTGAGACAAAAATAATATAGTCTACTCCCTTTTTGTTTTTAGCTAACTAGTTTCAAAAAGTGATTTCAGGGCATATGTGGAAATGTATACAGTATTAAAATAAAAATGGTACTAGTTTATAAATAGAACATCCTGCTGTTTAAAGAACATAGTATTAGTAATAGCCTTCCTGACCTGTGTTTATCTAGTCAAAGGAGATAATCTTTGTATTTGTAAAATGGCTCTGTGCCTATATCCATTTCTGTTTCTAACGTAATTTATTTCTGCGTTAATATTTGCCACTTAAAAAAATACATATAAAAGCTAAATGCTTTTATTCTCTTAAAGGTTGCTCTCATGTTTTTCTATTCTTACTGTATACATTTCTGGACTCTTGGTAAGGTGTTGCAAAACTACTTCATTACTGAAGGATATGTAGTATCAGATGAATAGCACATTATTGCAGAAAAAACAGGTCAGGGTTTATTTTTCCCGTAAAAGGCAATAACATATATATTTTCGTCAGGGAATTGTGATATACTTTTGGGATATTTAGATGTACACATACTGAGAGACTAAAACTGTATAGATACAAATAACCTACTTATCAGTTACAAATTTTTTAAAGTGCTGTATGAAATCACTGGTTTTTATATGTAGTGTGAAAATGAAAAAGGGAAAAATCTGAACTTTGACTCTGATCTTAGTATGTGCTTTTCTGGATGTTTCTAAGTTCTTTCATATTGGTTTTTTTAAGTGGACAATATTTTCGCAGGTTTTCTTTTCTGCTTTTTTTTCCTGCTGAATTGCCAAAATTACTGGCTTGCCCATATATTGAGCTTTGTGCTTAATAGTGTTTGACTTTAAGAATCTTAAATTGCCATCTTTTCCTTCTGTGTACTTCCCTCCTGCTGAGAAAGAAATAGTTATATGTAATATATGCTGTCTTATAAAATCTGAATTTTTAAAATAGTTTAAAGAGAAAAGGATCAAGGATAAGTGTATCACTTTTTAAAGAATATGTATGCCATCCTAGCATATGCAATTCAAAAAAGTCCAGAAAACTGGTGTTTTCTGCATTTTTTAACATGCAGAAATATAACTTTAAAAAATTCTTCCATTTACCTTTTAGTGAAATGAAAAAAACAGTGCATATTTTGTGGTCAAGCTTTTGAGGAGTTGTCTCTTGTTCTTCTGAATGCCATGTTTTTAGTCAGTATCATTCTTCTGTTTTTACAGGACCATTTTCAGGCTATCTTTCAAAGTGGTGGCAAACCTATGACATGTGTGCCAAAGCAGGCTGTTTGTATCATTGAAAACTCTAACAGGTTCACCATCACTGGTCTGTAATGTTTCCATTTGCTTCTTTTTTCTGAATATTCTGAATGAATATTCCTGGCTGGAATATTCTTTTCCCATTCTTGTTCCTCAGTGCTAGTTTTTTCCCCTCTCTCATTATGTCTCCAAGTTTTTCAGGGATTTTGGTAGCCTGTTTCATTACACATAATTCTTTCCATCATCTTTATTAATTTCAGTGTTTAAGTCAGTAACTAATTGGTTATGTATGTTTATTCTTTACAAATTTCCTCTTTTACAAGGCCCTACAAATCACTCTACATTCTCAACTAGTTAAGATTTTTCTTCATCTGTAAGATTAAGATTTTTCTTCATCTGTAATTGTTCTATGTTCAAATCTTCAGTTCCCAAATCTGTTTCATATCTTTCAAATACTTTATTTCCTTTTCCTTTTTTTGAGCATTAACACCTGATTTTGATCTTTCTCCGTTCCTCTGGTTGATCAGCCATTTTTTACATTCATTTTTTTTCCCCATCAGATTGGACTAATTGAAAGCTAGACTCACTACCACCTTCAGTTTCAAGATGTGTGAGTATCAGTAAGCATGTATGGAGATTGTCCTGTGCCAGTGTTGTACAGGAAATAATCCTGGCTCCATTGGCTGCCCACTTTTTCATGTGCAATGATTGGGTGGTGTAGGGACTGTGATGGTTAGTTCTTGGTCTTTGCTACTCAGTGTAATCGCTGACCTTTAGCAAACCTGGCAGAATGTGATAAATGCCCATTACTTTTCTGTTTTTCTTTTTCTTTTTTTTTTTTTTTTTTTAAGAATAGGAAAAATTTATTGAGAGAAAGAAAGCTTCTGTCTACGAGAGACAGAAAGGGGGCCGGAAAGTGGGTCGCCTGCCCACCCCACACTTCAAAGATGTTTTATACAAGCAGCCATGTAGTGAGGTGGGTACAAAGTGGGACAAAACTATAAGACCCAGTGGAATTTTACAAGGTGGGCATGAGGTGGGACAAAACCATGACCAACCAATAAGATTACAAGTATAGTCACCCAGGTAATATTGATTAAATGGGGATCAAATGGGGGAGCAAGTCACGTAGCACGCTTACAAGGATTTTCAGTAAGGGTGGGTCAGGGATATTTTCTGGAGAGGCTGGATTAAGACTTTGGCCTCCTACCCACATGATTGATACCTGTTTGGAATATTAATCACTGTTATTGATCCTACATGAGTGTGCTAATTTCTCTCCTTTTACAATGCTGGCCTTCTGTGAATGTGTCTTCACTCTCCTTCATGTTGGCACCTGTGGGCTGGCCCTGTCTAACTGTCTACAAGATATCTAATTAACTTTCTTATCTGCACTATTCCCCCCTCTGAAGAAGTACCCCTAACTGCTGTGAGGGGGCAAAGGGTGAAGATTGGTCTGGCTACGTCTGGCTAAAGAGGGTTGTAGTTGTGATCAGCAGTTAGAGTTACTCCTCAGAGGGTTTATCTAAAGGCCTTCGATGGGTGCCAGGCATTTTCATCTTGGTAGCTGTATAGCTTTGAGTCTGGAGGAGACAAAGCCAAAGAAATAGTTAAGAATACATGGGCAAAATTATAAGGGCAGCAGGATTGCTATGAATATAGCCAACAAGGGTTTCCACTGGGAGGAACTAGTAATAGCCTCCCACAAAGAGGATAAGGAGAAGGTCCAGGGGACTTCAGAATCCAACATAGAAGTCATATTGTATAGTTTAGCAGTTATGAGCTGTTTACAAGGTCGATCTGGTGGATCCCGGTAAAAGAAGTCTAGCACATTTGTCATTGGTTCCATTTGTATGACTGCTTGGAGTTTGGCAGCCTCTAGGCAAGAATAAACAAAACTTTTAAGAAATTAGAGCATAATCTAAGCATGAGCACACTAGAATGAAAGGGCAGGTTGGAAAGAAAGTCACACTTAGAAATTGAAATAGTGATTGTAACCTACTGACTCTTAGATTCTTTTATTGATAAGAGGTTATCTATAAGTCTGATACTTTGTCATAAGTTTCTCTAGTTTCAGCTGTAAGAAGAGACAATTTGAAGAAAAAATTTCACTAAGAAATATAAAACTCTAGCTGAGCTCTTAT